GCAAGGAACAGCGCTGAAATGCCAAAAGTCTGCGCGGCCAACTAATGCAATGAATGAATGATTGCAACCCTCCAAGTTTCGATGCCTCTTCGGCGATTTGAAAGCCCGCCCGTAGAGATCTGTCACTCGTCTTACCATCACAGATATGCCTCCCGCAATGCTCCTCACTGCGTCATCGGTCGCTGGTCAATCACTAGCCTGAATCAGCCCCTGGAAACATTGCGCAACATGATGCGCACATCTTACCAGGTTCGCGGGTCACCGCTCCACGCGCGCGACTTTCCACTCCCAGGTATCCGGATATCTCCCCCCTGGTCATGTCTCTCTCGCTGAAGAAAACCCGTTGACAGAATCCTGAATGGCTAGCGACCTCGTCCCAATCGTCCACTCACAAAGGGCGCTTAAACGCCCCGTTCGTCGCTCCCACGTGTCGGCGATTCAGAGCCACCCTTGCGCGGCCGTTTCTGCAATCGCTAGTCAGGGACTCGCATCCCATCAGCGTCCATTGGAGGAGCTTTCTGCTAACGAATACCCCCGCTGCCAACTGATTTCCGGGAAGCTGGGCACCGCACCACACCACACCTCAGCACACACCAACACACCTTGCAGCAGCGACTCCTTTAAACCGGTGTGCGGTGTGTGATGGAGGGCGACGGTTGCTCACGCCGAGGGGCAGGGAATTGAAGGGGCACTAACCCTTGGAAAGTATGGTGGGGATGGGACGGGGGAGGGGGGAAGTTCTGCTCAGCCCAGTGGATAAAACACTTGGATCGCCCCTCGCAGCGAGCGAACTCACCGTGCCCACCCTTCAGTACCTTTTCTCACAAACCTTCACTCGGTAGCTGCGGTGTTTAAACGGCGAACGACTATCCACAGCAGCATCGACATTTGGGCAGGATCTCGCGTGACCTTTGCCTTCTTCCAGCAGCGATGGCAACTCAGGGAGAAGAGACGCGCTCTTCCCCGCCGGCAGCGGCCCCGCCGGCGCCCGCGATCGCCCCAGAGGCCGGGGAAGCGGGCACCGCGGCGGGTGCCGTTACTGCTGCCCAGGGAGCGGAGAACCCGGCGACGGGTATCATTGTACGGGTCCGAGTGGGGAGGGGCTAGGTGGAGTGGATGTGCTGATGAATTATCGTGAAGGCGCCGGATGAGACTGAGACCGACTCGGCCATCAACGTCGTACGTCTACTTGACTCGTCTTCGTCGTTGCTGTTCAGCCATTGATCTAGTCTCCTTCACAGTCCGTCCGCGATTCCCTTACTTCTATCCGTTCATCCGTGCTCAAGTTCGAAGACGAATACGGCCGTCTTTACCATTCTCAATCCCGAGGAAGTATGCAACCCTTGCGGACCAATGTGTCTTGATGATGAATGCTGATGTCGTCCAGAATACTACTTCCCCCACGATAACGTACGTTCAGACTTTGCTAAGCATCTTATGCGACTAACACACGACTCACAGGTCGAGCAAGACCGATTGGACTTGCAGCATGAGCTGTTCATGAGGACATTCCGCGGTTACCTGTGTACCTGCCCGAAAGTGAACGGGGCCAACAGAGTGCTCGACTTGGGAACAGGCACTGGCATCTGGGCTTTGGAGTATGGTGAGTTTCACTGCCGCGAGTCACTTCGATTCTTGGGCTCATGACAACTCCACTTGCAGCTGAGCAAAACCCGGAAGCTGAGGTCATCGGCGTCGACATCAGCCCGGTGCAGCCCGACTTGTGAGTTCTTCACATGCCATATCTTCGGCAAGCCCGTGCCTCAATATTGATGCTGTGCTAGCATGCCCCCAAATTGCTCCTTCGAGATTGACGACATTGAAAAAAACTGGACCTGGTCCAAGAAGTTCGACTTCATCTTCTCCCGCACCCTTAGCGGCAGCATCCTCGACCCCGTAAAACTCGTCGACAGCATTTACAAGTAAGCCACATCCCACCCATCCCTCCCATCCTCCACACCATCACTCACCCCTCCCAAGCCAACTCGAGCCCGGCGGCTGGTTTGAAGCCCAAGACGTCTGCATGGACGCCCGCAGCGACGACGACACCATCCCCAAGGACAGCTTCCTCGTGCAGTGGGCCGTCGAGGTCGTCGACGCCATGGACAAGATCAACCGCACGCTCCGCCTGCCGCTGCTGTGGAAGCAGCTGCTCATCGACCGCGGCTTCGTCGACGTCCAGGAGACGGTGTACAAGTGGCCGACCAACACGTGGCCGCGCAACCGCATGATGAAGGACATTGGCGGCTGGGGGCTGGCGAACCTCGACACGTTCCTGGAGACGGCGGCGCTGGGGACGCTGACGAATATCAAGGGGTGGTCGAGGGAGGAGGTGCTGGTGCTCTGCTCCCAGGCACGGAAGGAGATGAGGGACCCGACGATACATGTTTGGTGGCCTGTGTAAGTTTTCATACCTGGTGGTGATTGGTGTGGAGGATGCTAATATGTGTGGCAGGTATGTTGTCTCTGGTCGTAGACCCGAGAACTCGTGAGCGCAGGAAGCTCTTTTCGATACCTACAGTCTAGCTATGAATCTCTGATGTTTTCAGGGCTGAGAAGGTTTCAATCCTCCAGCGTAAGTATACCCGAGTGGCCAATTCTTAGTGAAGTATCATGCCTCGTTGCCCAGACCACCTCCGGGTGTGCAACATACAGCCACGGCGGGTTCTCTTGAAGCCTCTTCAGACAGGCCGAGTAAGCCTCTGCCCTATCCTCTCTTGTGATTCTACCCCTTGCCGCCTGGAACAAACCCTGAACGTCGTCATCATGGTAACCCAGCCACCACGTCGCGTGAGACGAGCTCGAGACCTTGTCGTCCAGTACTCTGAATGTGCTATTAGGCGTCGAATCAAACAATGCAAGGTCCCCAATCTGCTTTTGAAGGCCAATCTGCCGAGCGTACTCTGGCCGGTTGGTCTCAACCCGAACCTCAACGTCAAACTCAACCGCTTTCAAGGACTTGGCGACGAAGCTGGAGATCTTCTGCGCGTGCTCTGGCATGTATGTCGGGGTCCGGAGGATGAGCGGCCCTGTCGCGTCCGCGTCCTTGAGCAATTCCCTCGCACGTTCTGGGTTGAAGGGAATAGGCTGCAGCTGTGATTCCGGGAAGCCGAGGTGGAAAGGACTCACAATAGTAGCCGACGGAAGCGCGAAACCCTTGTACACCTCCTTCACCAGGGCATCGTTGTCCACAGCAAGGTTGACCGCCAGACGCGCCTTCGCAGACCGGAAGATGCCCTCGGTGCAGTTGAGGTAGTATATCGCAGAAAGGGTACTCGTAACCCTGCCCCATCGCAGCGACGCATCAAAATCCAGTAGGCCAAGGTCCTCGACCCTCTCCAAGTTCAGCGCCGCATCCACCTCCCCGTCGCGCAGCTGCTGCAACCTCTTGGCCGCATTCCCCTCCTGCGTCGCAACAACAACATGCGGAGTCCCATGCCGCGATGGACTCACCCTTTGCAACCTCGCCCTTCCCACCCCATCCTCCCGCTGAAACTCCACCACGCGAAACGGCCCCGTCCCAAGCACCGGCTTGCCATCCCCGTCCACCCTCACCGGCCAGAACTCGCAAAAGATGTCAAGCACATGCGCAAACACCTCCGGGTTCTCAACTCTCACCGTCCGCGCGTCAGGCGCCGAGAGCGTCGCGCGCGCGAAGTAGCGGCTGTAGCTCCAGCGCATGCCGAAGTAGTCGCGCGAGTCCAGCAGTCCGAGGATGTAGCTCACGACGTCTTCGGCGACGCACGGCTTGCCATCGTGGAAGACGGCGCCGTCGCGGATGTGGAAGGTCCAGGTGCGCCCATCGTCGGAGTGCGACCACCGGTCGAAGAGGCCGGGCTGGATTTTGCCGTGGGGCTGCCAGCGAAGGAGCGGCTCGAAGACGAGGCTTTTGAGCGCGGTGACGCTGGCGTCGTCGGTTACCTGGGTTGGCAGGCGGAAGTCGACGTTTTCGAGGGATATGCGCAGGGTTTCTGGCGTCATTGTGGTGGTTTGGTTGGGGGTATTGGTTGGCCGGGAATAGGATGGGTGGAAGCGTGGGATTGATACCAAGATGTGGGAGATTTCGGGAGGTTTCAACCCGATATCGACGACCTACTGCAGCAGTGTAATTGAGGGAAAGTGATAAGGTATCTTGACAAACGCTCTGCGGCGCATGGGGTTTATGTGCGATCGCGGCGATGATCGACCCTTGCGCAGAGCCGGCCGGGCAAGTGGCCGACGCATGCTATATCACCGGGACGTGTCTTTGTGGCACCGGGGAATCTCATCCACGCGGGCTGTAGAAGCCGAGATCAGATTCTAATACACATTCTCACACAATTACAATTCTTTAGTTTACGGTCGCCGACACCGCAGAGACTGCAGATATCCTACTACCCATTGCCTGGTTCAACCCGGTCCTTGAAAACATGAAGAATATGTACAAATACACACCGGAGAAAACGTACCGAAATTCTGCAAACACAGCAAATGATCGGAGTCGGCACCGGCATACCAAGCCGGGGTTAGCAAGGCGACAGAGCGGAGCGAGATAACGACATTGCGGGGCACCTATCACGACATGTCGGAGTCGAGCCGCATATGCAGTCGCTATCGTCCGACAGCGGCAGTCTTCAATGCCTGCCGGACTCCTCTTCGAACTAAAGTCCCCAGGCAAATTCGAGAGACACTGGCAGGTCCAGCCCCCTTATCCACTTGCAGCATCGACGGCGCCCTTGGAAATGGGGCAGAAGGATTTGACGACTTTGGGTCGCAAGGAACACGATGACACCATTTGCAGCAGCAAATCAGGACCTCGACGATGTAAAAGCCCATGTCAATTCAATATCTAGTTTCTATGAAAGTGGTTAGCATGATCGGGAGAAATCGTTGCGCTCGCAGGTGTCAAAGTATATAGCGATCTGGGCTGAACGGAGCTCCGACCTGCAGCTGCGCATCAGAGGTGACTGGAGACAGGCGATTACGTCCAGCCCTGATTTTATCTTTTGCTATTGGCTGCAATGTCCGATTCGAAGACCATCGCCCCTGTGGCCGTGTCGGATACGATGTCTGACCTGGACAAGAACTCCAAGGAGACGAGGCCAGTGAGCATCGCCGAGGACCCTTCAGGCGATGTGAAGACCTCTTCGTGGTGGAGAAAGATACTCGGATATGTGTGGGATTCTGTCGAAGGAGACCCGGAGTACCGCGCATATGTCCAAAGACTGGACCTCTTCTTCTTGTAAGTTTCGTCGACTCCGATCTTTCACCGGAGCCTTGCCTGACGCATATGCAGTCCTACAGTCTGTCTTGGGTACTTCATCAAGTACCTCGACCAAACAAACTACAGTAAGTGCTTCTCTCCCATTTGGACAACCACCGCTAACAGCCTGCCAGGCAATGCCTTCGTCAGCGGTATGCAACAAGATCTCGGCCTCTACGGCAACGAGCGCAACTGGTTAAACACCTGGTTCAGCCTCGGCATCATGGTCGGCAGCGTCCCCGCCCAGATGACGCAGCTCAGCTTCGTGCGCTCCTCCGTCCTGATCCCGACGTGCGAGGTCATCTGGTCGCTGCTCGTCATCGGCATGGGCTTCGCCAAGAACATCCAGACCATGTACGCTCTGCGGTTCTTCATCGGCCTCTTCGAGGCGTGCGCCTTCCCCGGCTACATCTCCATGCTCGGGGGCTGGTACGGGCCGAAGGAGCTGACGAAGCGGCTGGCCATTCTGCTGCAGGTCGAGTCTATCGCCAGCATGTTCAGCGGGTATCTGCAGGCGGGGCTGTACACCAGCATGAACGGTCGTCATGGTCTTGCTGGGTGGAGGTGGCTGTTCATCATGGATGCCATCATCTCGCTTCCGATCGCCATCTGGGGGTTCTTTGGACTACCTGATCTCCCGCACAACACCAACGCCTTTTACTGGTCAGCTGAAGTAAGTCTTCTCCCTTTCAACGTCATTCCAGGGGTCTATTCGATGCTAACGAAACTGTAGCATATCAAATACGGTGTAGAGAGAATCGAGCGGTTCGGCCAAAGGGCCCAAGAAAAGCTGACATGGAAGGAGGCCAAGCGCATCTATCTTGGCTGGGAGATCTGGGTCTTTGTTGTGCCATACACGTAGGTTGCCGCCAACTCAGACTGTCATTTTCAAAGCTAACAGTGACGGTCTAGTATGGTCGCGGCCTGTCATTCAGCGACGAGCTACTTCAACCTTTGGCTGAAGTCGGCGGGCTACTCGGTTGTGGATGCGAATATCTATCCAACCGGTGGAAGCGCTCTGAATATCGTTGTTACCATCATCTGGGGCATCATCGCCGACCACACGGGGAAGAACTATATGATGATTGTCATTGTGCAGGCTTTCATGATCCTCTCCAACATTCTGCTCTCCGTCTGGACCATTCCTAAGGGTGCTCTCATGTTCGCATACTATCTTTCGTACGCTGGTTCGGCTGCGACGCCAGTTCTGATTGTGGGTCTATCTCTGGAAGTGCTGAAGCTTACATCACTGACATATCACAGAGCTGGGCGAATAGACTCAACGCTGGTGATCCCAGTGTCCGTCAACTGTTGGTTGCCACGGCCAACGTGGTTTCTTACGCCTTTGTGCTTTGGGTGCCTTGTAAGTTTTTAACTACTACTGCATGCAAATCATGAAAAACAGCGCTGAACATGTTGCAGTGGTCTTGTTTCCTACATACGATGCTCCCAAATACAAATATGGATATCAAATTCTCATATTGTTTGGGGGTCTTGCGATCATCAGCGTAACTGTCATGTGGTACATGTATCGACGAAGAGAGTAAGCTACTAGGTCCTGCGTCTTATAGACAGTATTCAAAGGCTAACTCATCCCCGCGCAGTCAAAAGCGAGCCCAGCAAGAAGTTCAGGGTACAGAGGGGGGCCAAGTTGTTGATAATGAACGCCTATCCCATTGACCATTGGGCTTGTGAGCAGAGGATAAGAGATGAATTTCTCGCTTTCAGGCGTGAGAGGCAAAGGGAGAGTGTCAGGAAACAGGTACGAACATGGACAAGAGGACAATCAGTCTAGTAGAGGCGTGGCAGGAACGTAGTTGGTGACCGGGACCACATTGATGATAAAGACAACAGAGCTGGTGCAGTACCCGGGCAGAAACGACGCTCCTTTTGTTCAACTAGATGACTTATGTCAACAATAGAGAATGACGTAAAAAGTCGCGGAAATGCTGGACCGATTAATCCTCGTCCGTCATGATGGTGATTTTGGACCTGGAATTGCCAGCATCTTCTCTGAGACACCTACAAAGCCCCATTAGCCATAATCTCTACACGAAATACTGGTCTTGAAGAAGAATTAGCTTAGCGCCTCGCAGTCAGTCAGGCAGATGGATCAAAAAAATCGAGGCATCCAGGGCCCCCTGGTTCCCCCCTCCGGTTTCGTGCCGATGGCGTCCCCGCACTAGACCCGAGAGATCGGGTCTCTCCACCGGGAATATCGGTATATAAGCCCGGCTCATCGCCCCATCGGTGTCTGTTGCCGGTTGTGTAGAATGTTGTGTATGAGAATTGCAATATGGCCGACCCATTCTTGGATACTATCAAAAGCCTGCGATCGAAAGCGGCAGCATTTGGCAGCGAGCCACTGCTCACCCGACCGGATGGCACCGTCGCCGACCTGGCCAACGGCTACATACCACTCCTAGCAAACTTTACCTTTGAAGACAAAGCCGCCAAGGGCTTACGGAAACGCAAAGCCGGAGACGAGCGCGAGGTCCCGGTCTACTTCTCCGCTGTCGAAGTTGTACGCGACAACAGGATCCTGTTCCTCACTGGCACCGGTGGGAGCGGGAAAACTACATTCGCGAAATATGTTAGCTATCGGATGGCAACAGACGGCTTCCGGGAGTCCCGTGCAGTGATTCGCAACGAGCTGGGGGATTCGCACGAAGAAAATTGGAAACCTGGCAAGCTTGAGCCATATTACTTCTTCGTCGATGGGGCCGACTCTCTCCGGACATTTGTTGAGAAAATTGTCCCGGAACTATTGGCATCGAGGGGCGTCCATGAAAGCGGCTTCCAAATCATCATAGACGGGGTCGATAGGGCTGCGGTTGAGGCCACTGAGCTTCTGGGCTCCGTTAGTGTCTTGGTGAAGTCGGCAACTAACGTCCGGCTTCTTTTACTTGGGGACACCAAAGTTTGCAGCTGCTGGGTGTTACCGTCAGTCGTGGCCCGTCACGACATACTACCGCTTCTGATAATCCAAAGAAAGCGAGCAGCTCAAGAGCTTTTGATTCAGGACGGCATAGGATTGGGCTCTTCCGCATCGAATCCTGCCTTGTTCGCCTTGGCACTTCGAGCTGGATGTGTAGCGGAACAAGCCGAAGACATCCTCGATGAGTGGATTAAGGTCGTTTATTCTTATGAAACTTCTGCCGAATACCTCCCGTTGAAGGCCTATGAGGAGGCTTTGAGAACCAAGGGAGTCGACCAGCGAAGCACGTCGGCTTTGCCAACATCGTTGTTGACTCCGGCCTGGTCCTGCAGTGGGGTTCAGCAATTACTTGCAGCTCGACACCTCGCAACTCTCCCAATCGAAGAAGTACTCGCCTTCTACTATGCAAATCCAGGCTCTTCACAGCCAGTCATTAGAAGCTGTTTGGTCCGTCTCGCAGGCTCTCCCAAAGCGGAAACACTGTTGGAACGGTTGCTTGACAGGGCGTCACCAGAATCTCATCGCGCTGCCCTGCTTATTGCCGACCTCGTTCCCAAAGACTCACAATTAGAACAGTCGGTAGCCGAACTGGTGTTGGAAGTCGTGGAAAGGGGCTTGTTGAATCCTATGGAGCGTGAGAAATCTGGACGCATTCTTTCCTCTCTGGGCGACCCCCGCAACCTGACGGCCCTCGCACAAATACCCGCTGGAACATTCGTCATGGGCTCTGAAAGTCATCCCAACTCGCAACCACAAAACTCTATCTCACTCGGTAGTTTCCGCATTGGCATCTATCCAGTCATCAACAGGGACTATTCGGCGTTTGCTCGGGAGACCGGCCGAGACTGGCTCAGCCCGGATGGAACGGACCCGGAAAGGTTGAACGCGCCAGCTACTGATCTCACCTGGCACGATGCGTGGGCTTACTGCAAGTGGCTGACAGAACGGTGGCGGTTGAGCGGGAAAATACCGCCAGACCACGAGGTCAGACTTCCAACGGAGCCCGAGTGGGAGCGGGCGTCTCGCGGCGACCAGTTCGAGGCTGGCAGCGAGGGGCTGGTGTATCCCTGGGGCACTGAGTGGGAAGCCGGTGGTGCAAACTCAGAGGAGGTCGGTTTCAACAATACTTGTGCAGTTGGGTTGTTTCCAAAGGGTCGCTCGCCCTACGGGTGCTATGACATGGCGGGTCAGGTGTGGGAATGGTGCACGACTCTTTGGGGCGAAGATATGGCAAGCCCGGCGTTCAAGTACCCGTGGAAGAATGACGAACGAGAAGCGTTGCAAGGTCCAGAGAAGGTTCGTCGGGTACTACGCGGGGGATGTTTCTCCAGCCCAAAAGTCAAAGCCAACTGCACGTACCGAGGGAGTCTTGAACCAGCGGGGTTCTGGAGGGGGAACGGGTTTCGAATTGTCGTTGCGCCTAGTTCTGCTCACTAAGAGTCCATTAAAACAGCGGACAGGCGTGCGGCAGTCACTCCGGGCATGCTCATGGCGTTATCTTATGAGGATCGGTGATATATGCCGGCCACGGCCGGGTACCCACTCTTGAAGGAACGGCGCTGTGGAGCCACTCCGGCCGGTGTCGGAGATCGTGGCCGGCAACACCATAGTGGATCGGTATTACGCCATTATCTACTAGCAGAAACCGCGCCTCATAGTCTCTAAGGAAAGATGCGCTTCGCATTGTTCTTTCCTCTCCCTTAAATCGCAGCTTCCTCTGCTTTCATTGGCTCAGCAATTTCGTCGTTGTCTCGCGAAAGTAGCCCGTCACCGCCAAGATGCCCATTATCTCAACCTTCACGCTACCGGACTCCTTGGAAGCTCTTGAACTGCCTGGCAATCCCGATGCACCCTTATTCATAACATTTACGACTTCAAACCTCCCGGAAACAGGGGAGTCATGGTGCCCGGATGTCAGAGCTGCCTTGCCACACATCAATGCCGCCTTCTCGGCCGAGAAGGCGCCGAACATGGCATTCGTTGAAGTCGGTCAAAGGCCCGAGTGAGTGGATATCTGCTGGCATATGTTCAGGCTCCGATGTGTCGTTTCTTGGTAGCTCAACTAACTCCACGTAGGTGGAAAGTACCCAATAATATCTATCGGACCAAGTGGGACGTTCACAACGTCCCAACCATCGTCCGCTACCAGTTGGTCAATGGTGAAATCAAGGAGACGGGACGGCTCGTAGAAGGCGAAATCCTTGACAAAGGCCGACTGCAAGCGTTGATTCAACCATGATGGAGAGGATAGAATTTGGGAAGTAGTTGGACAAGAAAGACGATCACAACTATTAGTTTTCATCAATTGACGTAAACCTGGGGCATTCTGAGCGATAAAACTCTTCTTCATCTTTGATACGTCGGTATCTACTTATTGGTGGGTGTCCACTATCGCTGGTGCGGACTGCCTGGATGGGCGCTCCTTTAGGGCGTTGTTGTCACCGCCAGTTGTCACATGTGGCCTACTTATCTCAGTTCATCTCAGATCTAGGTACCGAATACCAAAATTCCTCGAATCAGACTTTGGGTTCATTGGATAGTTCGAGAATAGGTCGCAATCGTGATGATCTTGTTTAAGGACAATGAGTTGGGCGCCTCAGCACGATGCGACCCTGGACAGATTATGACCGGGCTGAACTCATGATGAATTCCACCCTTGTGGATTTCTGGGCAAATTCATGAGTCTACACACCTGGTATTACGCATCCTTGAGGGCAAATTCGTGGCCCCATCACATAGAAAATCTTGAACTACACGAACAGCTCCAGATCTCATGTTAGTATAGCAGCGGCAGGCCATTTGCTATTCAGACATCTCACTAAAGTTTCACGTGAGGATGCAATGAAAGCTGGTTTAGAACGCTGCCTTCCCCCGACTTGGAATGCCCCCCGGAGCTGCCTTTGCGCGAGATATGACAAGAAGGACAATTGCTTTACCGACCTGACCAACATGAGGACGGCGATAATTCAATTCTTGTCGATATTCTTTCGGCGACTACGCCTGGCGCTCCACTTTCTATATTCATATAGCTGACTACATCGTTGCCCTCTACGCCGAACATTGCCTCGAGTCATAGAGCTGCGTCGCGGCAGACTTGCAACGCAATTCATACGCCTTACATGATGCTGACCGCCGGCCTTGGCCCTCAATGATGTCGTCGGTCTCGGGACTTTTCAAGCAACAAACTCGAAGGCCTTGGGTTGAGAAGCATATTTAGTGGTGGCCTTTACGGATTTAAATAGAGTTTAGAGCTGCAGAGTGGCACCTTAGTCCCAAATCGGCTCGCGTTACGTCGTGGAAAGCTTTATGCTCCCGGCGGAACTTCCGAATGAGAAGGTCGTTCCAAGTTATAAGGGGACGTGCAAAATGCGAGCCCGATATTCCGCGGGTTTGTGGGAAGTTTTCGGCTAGCGGCTCGATACAATACGACCAGATCAGTAAAGAAACCCACCTGCCCTGCCGTCATCCCGGGCAGGTTGCGAGGGCCTGAGCGAGTGACCTGCAAAACTGGGGAGCCCCCGACCACTCACAGCATAAGTAGCCGGAAGGCCTCTCCGGAAGCGTGTTTGAAGGCGAGCAGACAATATAAGGAATTATTAGCATTTTGGATGATGAGGGAGGTTTTACGACAGAATGTGTCATTGTTGATTTCTTCCGGTATTCACATGAGCCAAGATGTGCTAGATAGGCGAATATGAATATTATTGAATGGTTAGCAAAGTAGAAAAGACATAATGCAAATTCATGGAGCTCACGGGCAGCGGTCATGGAAGCTTTAGCCGCATATTCAATGGGTCTTGCTTGCAGCACAAGGAACAAATCCCTCTTGATGCAGACTGAACAACGTGGATCCCACATGCGAACTAAATCTGATCTATTCGCTGTGCTGCCCCCTGGACTGTTTGACTGAACTTTCTTCAACGTTCACGTAGCCCGTGCCCGGGTTCCAACCGGTCTCAGCTGTCAGGATAGAGTCCTTATCACACAGCAGTACTCTGGATGCCTTCGGCGACGGTCTGTTGAGAGTAAGTTTCTTTCACCGCAGGTCGGCCGACTTGAAAACCCTGCATCGATAGCCCGCTCTTTAGCCGGCGTCTTTATCTGCGGAGGCAAGATCTCACTTTCTCGGATCTGGGGGAGTAGGGCCAGCTGCAAGCAAGATGCGACGTGCCTAGCGCATGCGATTGATCACATACGCCAATTGTATCTCTTCTTCAATGGTGATAGTTGACAGCGCATGCTGCTGCCGCCCTACGTGGCTGAGGCCAAGAAAGCTTGTTGCTTGCTCGAATCACCGTTGGAACAAAAGACGATTGGTTTCGTTCATAGGGTGTGAACGCGAACTCATTGAGACCGCGGGCTTCTTCAACCTGTGTGGGTTGCAATCACTTAGTTGAAACCAATCGCGAGAACGACCATGTCATTTTTGAGTTGAAGTCGGGGACCTCGGACTGGAACTGGCAATGGCATTGGACACTTCAGCCTTTGAACCAATGGCTTCAAAGTGTAATGGCGCTGCGATGAGGGGAATCTGCTTGTGTGTGAGTGTGAAAACAGCGATTTTTGCCCCGGTTTCCCAGAGCACCTCGGCCATCTCAAATCTTCATAGTCATCGCGGGTGTGCATAGAAGCCAGGAACTCTGTCATGACGGGGCAAGTTGACTAGCAGCCCCGAAATTGCGTCGGACAGGGGTTTTACAGTGACTGTAGCGCCTAGTCATGATCGACACGCTTCCGGGATTACGATTGCAGAGTTTCCTATGGAGTACCAGCTATTCGGCGAAAGTTAGCCAAAAATTGCAACCAACTGACAAATCACTTGTTTAGTTCAATCTCGGTATCGCTTTCACGGTCTAAAAACTCAACTCTCGTACGCATAAAGAGCCGTTAGGGGAAGGCCAGTGAGGGGGAATCTCCGCAGATGTGAAGGCCGTAGTTTAACCTACTCGAGTTTAAATACAAAGCCCCTGTCTCGGACGTGTGTCCGTGCACTCCGCGCTTTCCACGGAGACCACGGAGCTGAAAAACAAAAAGGCTCGCGAGGGACCGGCAAAACGGACACAGCACCGGGCCATACGTAATTCAGAACACGCGCAGAAGCCAAGTACAGTGTGCGAGAGGAGGAGACCGTCCGTCCGACCCTGTCGGTTTCTCTCGGCTACGCTACCACCATGGAGCCGGAGCACACGCCAAAGACCAGTGTTATTCCGAGAGCGGTAAGTTCCGCCTAACGGGATCGCCGCCCAACGCCGCCTACAAGCTGATACGGCGATACTAACACGCAATGATTGCTAACCACCAAAATGTTGTCGTCGTTGATAGTGCCATAATTGCCGGATCCGCAAGGTAAACAGAGACATTCTATTCATCACTTTGCCCATCTTCGGACTTGCAGCCCGCGGGACGCGCTCATCGAACGAACCCCCTTTTCCTCGCTTATCCCTTTCGAATGATTGCTGCGTCTAAACTCCGTTCAAGCTGACACTACGCAGACGCGATGCAATCGAGAAGTCCCTTGCTCAAACTGCGTGACGTCCAAGATTCCGTGTCGTCCGGCTGGAAGGCAACCAAGCCAGCGAGCTTCCGCCGACAGACCTGCTGAGAGGTGACCGGAGATATGCTCGCGGAAATACGGTTCAAATGCTGACGCGATGATAGTCACCCTAGCATTCAGCAACTTCACGAACGGTTGAGAGCCGTCGAAGACGCCCTCCGAAACCAGACAGAAAATCACGCAAACAGACACACCCCAAATTCTACGCCAAATACGACACCTAATGTCGAAGATGACTCCTCAACGCATCATTGTCTGTGGGAAGACCAACCCGTGTCTTTCGAAGGCGACTCATCTTTCAGGCAACAAACGTACTTGGCGAGCCAAATAGAGGAGTTGAAAGTCGAAGCCGCTCAGTCACCGATTGTAGTCGACGAGCTGGAGACGTTACGAGGAATTTGCCAGAGCCATGAGCGAACTGAGCCGAAACAGATGCGAAGACTACCCCATGTGGGAAAAGGCTCGCAGCTGCAACTTCCACCTTCGGATTTGGTGATTCGGTTGCTCCGAACTGTTAGTGGTAAGCCGCCATGTCTTCCGTTCTCAACCTTGTCATCATTCACGGTTATGAGCAGAGACTGATCTGTGCATGACTCAGAACAATCAATACTATTTCTCTTCTACGCAGTTGAGAACCGAGTGCAAGTCGAAGACCTATGTCGCAGAGTCTACTTCTCCGTGGACCCCGTGACCATCGGCGAAGTCACGCTCCTAAACGGCTTCTTGTCAGTTCTCTTGCGCGATATCGATTTCGAAAAACACCCAGAATTCGACCCCCAAGAAACAAGCCATGTGTATAACATGTGTCATGCAAACTTCAAGTCGGGCATCGAGACCTACGAGGTTATGGCGGTACCCACATTTGAACACACTCTAATACTTTCCATAGCGGTACGTCGAGTTTGATGGTTGCAAATGGAACTTGATGGACTGTTGCGGCTAACAAACCTTTTGTAGTCATTACGAGCGCAGCAAGACGGAAACCTGGCATTGCAATGGACAGTAATGTCAGCAGCTGCGAGACACTGTCTGGCCCTGGGCTACAACCGGAAAGCAAGATTAGCGACGCTGTCAAGAGAAGAGGCCCGCAGAGCGCGACGCCTTTTCTGGCACGTTTATTTCGCAGACCGCGGCCTGACTCTGACCCAAGGCAAAGCCGCAATTATCCAGGACTTTGATATTGACGCGGAGCCTTTCGAGATCTCAAATAAGCCAGAGCGACGTCCATGGGACACTTCATTTTCTGCATTTATCGAATTCGGACGGATACAATCCAAGATTTACGAGCACCTGTATTCCCCGGCGGCTTCCAGGACGAGCGATGAGGAACGCGGTGCTTCAGTTGCGCATTTGACAAAGCGGCTGTCGGCGTGGTACGACTCGTGGCGAATTGTGGACTACACGCATGCTTATCGCAAAGAGCTATTTCAATTCACCTTTGAGGGACTCGATGTGGTCTACTATTCCATCCTAACACTAGTTCACCGCGGAGCCAGCTCATCGAACTCCGCGAGCTCCATAACCGAGGAGTGCTTCGACGCGGCAAGAAAGGGGCTCACGGCCCATGCGACCGCCTTTCCCCGGTCCGCGTCTGGCGGTTACGCCGCGTTGTTCAGCTATGCAGTCTGGTAAGTATACTCTATTTCTCCTCCAAGCTTCTAGTATTGTATGATTCTGGCTAACTCCAATTTCGCCAGGACACATCTCTACTCCTCCTTTACTCCCTACATAATCACCTTCCTCCACTGCATCAGACACTCCGACGTCGAAGACCTCAACCTTCTCCGAAGCACTCTGGAAATCAGCGAGCGTCTCAGCGGGTTGGTCGAGTCATGCAAGCGGCAGTATGAGCTGTGCAGGTCTCTGTACCGCATCGCGGAGGCATACATCAAGTCGAAGAAGGGCATCGCCTTCGTGGACGGGGCGCTCGAGAACACGATCCACCTGCCGCTGCAGCAGCCTGCCATGGAGAATTGGCCAACCTTTGACTCGCAGTTGGAGCCGAACGCTTTCCCGGACCTACACGTGGACGAGTGGAATAGTACGTACATGGGGCAAATGTCGTTCACCTTGGACAATCAACTGGGCAAGGGTAATGCGTAGTCTAGGCGAGAGTTTATGAACCTGCGGCTCAATTCCTTTGGCAGCAAATATTACACGATACCAAAATTATACTCCAATCGCAAGCTTATCGTGGCTGCAAACAGTGATCTTTTCCTGTTCTGTGGGTGTCGTTGAATTTCAACCGCATAATTATGCTAAACTTCGGAGACCTGTTACTTGCCAAGCTCACCAAAGCTGCATCGGTGTCCAACCTCTGGAAAGCAACTCATGGGTTACTAATTGAAATGCCATATTCCCACGGAGTCCGCGGCGTCAATGTGTAGGCGGACATTTAGGCCGCTGTAGTTGCGTTTTTACGGAATACATATCCCGCGTTTGAAGGAGATGTTTTTACGGAATCCAGATCCCGACTCTACACAGAGCTACGGGATTGTCGCCGATACGCCAAGAAGGAGACTACATAAGCGACCTAAACTACTGATCAAACGACACAAGAGACTAAAACAGCAACCTTCAGGTCCACGATCGACAAGTTGAGTCATGGAGCCCGGCTCATATTGGCGTCAGGACGTAAATGACGAACTGTATCAAACAAATCATAAACTCCGCAGCGTAGACGAAATAGACTTTGAATTTTCTCGTGAGTATGGCTTATTCGCGTTGACGATGCTGGGATACAACGTCACTAATAGCATTTTTAATGTCGTTCCGCCGATACCCTCCTAAAGCTGCCACATCTGCAGCATCAGGCTCATACGTGACAACCCCGTCCCCCGCATAAAGTATCGCCCGGGGCAGCAGCGGGTGGTCCTTATCCAGAACCGGCAGTTTCTGCGGGTTTCCAATGGCGTGGAAGAACATCTCGAAATACTCTGCGTACGTCAGGTTCTCATCGCCGACCAGAATCGATCTCCCAGACACAGCCTCACTGCTCTCAATCGCCCCAGCGATGGCTTCGGAGAGAGACTGCGTCGAAATAAAGTTGAGCCCCCCGGCGGGTGCAAAAGAAGGGATGGGTAGGTTTCCCTCCGCGTACTGTATATAGGCTTCGAACATTGGTGTCTTCATGCCAGGGGCCGTGCCAACGACTATCGGAGGATCCAAGCTGCAGGCACGGAAGTCGCGCGTGGCAAGTGCAGCGACCCCGTCGGCCGCTAGCTTGCGGGAGCGAACGTAGGGACTCGCATGTACCGCTTCGGGCACGATGTGAGAGTAGGCGCTCCCGATGTGCACAAACACCCTGACGCCTGCTTCCCGAGACAGGCGCGCGAACGCCGGGACAGCCTCGACATTCGCTTGCAGGTAGTGTTCGTCGGCCCCCTGGCCTTCCGGTACATGCCTGACGTCGCTCCCGGCCGCGAACACCACGGCTTCGAAAAGGGCAAGCTGTTCCGCAGTAATGTCACCGCGGAGGTAGTTTCCTTGGAGTAATGGGAGCTCAAGGAGCGCGGGAACTTCCGTAGGTGCTCGGCGGCCGCTAATGGTGACTTGGTGACCTTTGGAACGGAGGTGGAGGGCGGCGTGGCCGCCGATCATGCCGGTTCCTCCTACGACAAGGATCTTCATTTTTCTTACTCGGCAGATCGTGGATGAGCTCGTTGGTGATGTGGGATGAGGACGAGTGACGTGTAGTTGGTGCAGTAATGGTGGTCCACCAGCAAGAGTCGCGAGAATCCAAGTTGGCTTTTGGAGTCGATTTTAAAGTCTTTTCGCTTTTATCACAACTAGAACATCGGCGGACTTTCATATTTCTGATTTATAATAGATCATGGAGTTCATACAGCTGTGTTCTTGTAGTACAAGAGAGGACGAGGATTCGCCGCGGAATACACGGAATACGTGGCGAATCTGACGCTAACATCCTGCTGTTGGTCATCAAACCCCAATATCAACGGAACACCTCTTGTCGGAGAGGGGATCAAACTTCACATGTCCGCAAAACGAGTGCGGAGTTTGGGCGACGCTCCGGTCTTAGCAATTCTTCAATTTCATGACTATGGATAGCTTTCATTGCGTCTGAGTAACCGGGTTAAACGAACGTGATGATCAACTTAGAAGGCAGACTTCACCGGAAGTAGTCCGACTGACAAGTGGAAGTCAAGGTAACGATCTTATTCAAAGGGATTTCGCAGTTGAAAGAAGTCACGTATCCGGAATGCCGGCCTCGCAGCAGGCTCCAAAGACTGAGCTCCGGTCGGGAAAAGTGGGGATCCGGCTCCGTCCCGGGAAACTGCTTGACCGCCGAGAATCTGCGTCAAGTAAGTCATGCCTCCCTGCGTAGGTCATCACCTAGCCCCAATGGAAATTATAAGCCTATCTGTCTTGGGCTCCTCTATGCTTGCCCATACGGCTCTGCCTTGGCCTCCATTTGAGCTCACAGAGATGAACAGTCAAGGAATCGCCCTCGAGTCGTCCTCGTACGGCGGACTTTCCAGCAGTCGTTCACGGATCAATGCTGGAGTCTGTGTAGTCTCTCTCGCATTGAAACGAGACGTGTTGAGGGTTAAAACCCTCAGCTAAGCGAGCAAAAGGACAGACCGTCGAAACGAAGCACTTACACCAGATCAAACCCGCCAGTCGGCGAAGCAATGTGGCCTTTGTCCTTGTTATCTCGCTCCCAAATGGGAAAGAAACAGGAGTCATTGCAAAATCTTAAACTCGTCACATGATGTTTTTCGCCAGTATACTGCAGCGTATACGGCTCCGGGCCCCCAAGACCGCCGGCGGCCGCTTCAACCTGTGCCACGAGCTTTGAGATGGACACGTCCGCATATAACTGTCAGAACGGTTCCTGGTTGCGCGTGCAAGAAAACGTACGATATCGAGCCATCGTCACGGTCCGTGTTTGAAGGTATCTGCTAAAGCTTCATTGAAAGTCTGAGATGGGGAGCTTGAGGCTAAAAACTTATTTTGAGCGCAGCTGTAGATAGGTGATTAAAATAAGGCTTTCGGGACCTAGCGGAAAGTCGGGTTCTGGGGCTTTTCACAAGACACCTTCAGATATCCAGCAGAGCATACAGCTTGCGACGTGGAAGTTGGTGAAGGGAGTGGAAAAGGGTCTTGCGGATGGTGGTGATGACTCTCGAAGTACGACGGGCTGTGGATTGTATGCCGCAGATATCCCATTTACACGTTACGTTCTAGCGGCCCAGCTCTGATCACTGCAAATTCGCTGAAGCTGACTAAATGACGCTGAGACCTCTACGTCACATCAAGTCGGACCTTTCAACTGCTAGTGCATGCTCGATGAACTAGTGATTGGAACCAGAGCTCCGGGATCGATGTCGTAGTAAGCCGTTGGACAGCGGCTGCTCTACGTAGCCAATGCCTCGTCAGCTCGGAGACCGCCCGGGCTAATGCCCGGCGAGATGCGTAAAGTCGGGCATAGGATTCGGCCGGCAGATCAGTTTTGCTCTCGCCATTCGGCCCTTGCAAGGATGCAGGGAGCCGATCCAATCCGAACAGCAGCTGAGCGCGGATACCCGCAAAGGCAAGCACCCAGACCAGGATGGGGGAAGGATAAGCGCCAACAGCCACCACTCCCCGCGTTGGCAAAAGGCGGATATGCAGGAGACGTGTCGCCTTTTAGGCTAAATGCTATTGCCGGTCGTGATCGTGCTTGAAACATGGGGTTTGCGGCCACGCGGGGTAGTCGTATTCCTTTGGGGAGTTTTCGCTAAGCTGGGCGAACAAGCTCGCATGAGTACTATCCAATGAGCAGCCTGGAACCTTTTTAGCATGTAGGGCAAAATGGTTCACGTTGGGATGCCGATGCTTGTCACCGCAGCGTTGGGTCAGAGTCGCACCGAATATGACAGGGTCTTCACGAAAACGACCCATGAAAGCGTGAGATCTTCAGATGCTTCTGTGGTCTGGCGATATGCAGCTGAATCCTGCATGGACGTCGCATTTAAGTACGCGTCTTCCCCGTCAATACTCATGCTAAGCTTTTGGTCCACTTCTCTATCTTTTGTCGCGTCTTTGACCTCGACTGGGACTCCCCAACTTCCAATTACAGCTTTAATCCAACCACCGTCAGGCTCGCCTGTCGAAGACTGACAATATGGGCGGCCATTCTTCGGGCAACGCTGCCTACGATGCGGCTCTGCAAAGGAGACAAGCGCTGATGGGCGCCAGTGGGGCCAGAGCGCTCGTGAAAAACTGGAAAGTCGCTCGCATTGCAGCCTTCGCCTGCATTGGAGGTGTTCTCTACGGCTACAATCAGGGCATGTTCTCTGGTATTCTAGCAATGCCATCATTCGATAAGCGTGAGTCAATTGACCCAACGACACGGAGGTCTGGAGCTGACAATTGTGGTGCTTGGTAGACATGGGAGGGTACACGAGAAACCCTACCCAGAAGGGATGGCTGACATCGATTCTTGAGCTTGGAGCTTGGGTTGGCGCGGTGCTGTCGGGATTCATTGCCGAAGTTTGCTCACGAAAATACGGCGTTCTTATTGCAACCGGAGTCTTCATCCTCGGTGTCATCGTTCAGATAACATCCATCTCGGGAGGTCACGAATCCATTCTTGGAGGTCGTTTCATCACGTACGTGTTCCACTGCAGAAACGTAAATGACTATCAATACTGACTTGACAAAGTGGAATGGGCGTGGGCAGCTTGTCTATGATCGTGCCCCTGTACAATTCGGAGTGCGCACCGCCAGAGGTTCGAGGTGCCCTCGTAGCCCTTCAACAACTGGCAATCACCTTTGGCATAATGATATCCTTCTGGATCGAGTAAGTGTCCCAAAGGGTCTTCCTAACATGTGTACTGACGGGTATCTAGTTACGGTTGTAACTACATTGGCGGCACGACAGTAGAGACGCAATCCGATGCAGCTTGGCTAGTGCCTATCTGCCTGCAACTAGGCCCGGCCGCCATTCTTTTGGTAGGCATGATTTGGATGCCATTCTCCCCTCGTTGGCTCATTCACCACGGCCGCGAGGAAGAAGCACGACGGATTCTCGCCAACCTCCGAGATCTTCCCGAGAATCATGAACTCATTGAGCTCGAGTTCCTTGAGATCAAGGCTCAGTCTCTGTTTGAGAAGCGCAGTGTTGCGGAGCAGTTTCCACACCTACAGCAGCAGACAGCGTGGAATACCTTCAAGCTTCAATTTGTCGCCATGAAAGCTCTGTTTACGACAAAGGCCATGTTCAAACGTGTCATTGTTGCCACGGTCACCATGTTCTTCCAACAATGGACTGGAATCAACGCTGTGAGTATTCACTTTTCGAGAATGAGTGAGGACGGCTGGCGCTGAGGATAACTACAGGTACTTTACTATGCTCCACAGATCTTCAGCCAGCTAGGCCTAAGCCAAAACACCACAAGTCTGCTTGCCACCGGCGTAGTAGGTGTGGTGATGGTGAGTCTTCACTACCCGCTTGCTGCTTTGATAGCCCTAAACCCCTGACACCTAAGCCTAGTTTATCGCTACCATCCCGGCCGTCTTATGGATTGACAGGGTAGGCCGAAAGCCAGTTCTCAGCATTGGAGCAATTGGCATGGGTACCTGCCACATCATCATTGCCGTCATCTTGGCCAAGAACATTGACAACTTCCACGAGCAGCCTGCGGCTGGCTGGGCTGCCGTCTGCATGGTTTGGCTTTTCGTTGTTCATTTTGGATGTAGGTCCCCGGTATCTGACCTGTGTATGTGAGAGTAGACTGACATCCAGACAGATTCATGGGGCCCTTGCGCTTGGATCATCATCGCTGAAGTTTGGCCCCTGAGCACTCGGCCATATGGAGTGTCGATTGGAGCCTCCAGCAACTGGATGTGAGTAGAATGATATCATTCAGTCTTGATTAGGCTAATCATTTCCCTTTAGGAACAACTTTATCGTGGGCCAAGTTACTCCCGATATGCTCGTTGGCATCACGTACGGCACATACATCCTGTTCGGGCTACTGACCTACCTGGGAGCTGCCTTCATTTGGTTCTTTGTCCCAGAGACGAAGCGACTATCACTCGAAGAGATGGTTCGTCTTTCTTCGATTGCACTCATAAGATGAATCACCGGCTGACACTTTCTCAGGACCTTGTATTCGGCTCCGAGGGCACCGCTCAAGCCGACTTCGAGCGTATGGAGGAGATCAACACCGAGATTGGCCTCACTGCTGTGCTGAACCGTGGATCTCCGGCCGGCGGATTCTCGCATTCCGGCGACTTGGAGAAGGAGAAGCTGGATAGTGCAGCAGTCGAAAGCCGTTAAATTTCGAATCTGCGACTCCTTCAAACTTCTGCGTCTATCGGGAAGGCATTGGCGCATCGCATTACCAAATTGAGTCCGAGTGAGAGGCACGCCATATTTATAAGTAATAATGATAGAATCAGGCAGCAGACCATAGGCAGCAGGACGCCAAGATCGATCTAATGTTGCATGTGTAACGCTGCGTTACCCCGCTTCTCAACATATCGTGCTGACCACTCTTTGTCGCAATGCCGCAATCCGCACCCCGAATTTTCGTCATGGAATATCATGGAATCTTTCGGTAGAATATATGGCGCGGAACCCGAATGGAAAGCAATCTGTTTCATCGACGCAAAGACGCCACAAGCCGTATGTCAAGTTAATTTCCAACTAGTGGTACTCGACGGAGTCTTCGATGCGCTTCGCAGTTTCTAGACAACAGGTCGTGTATTCACATAAAAAGCCGCTTTTGTCACAATAGATGCCAAAAGTTTTATGTGCTTCATGACATACGGGGGAAAAGTGCCACATTGTGTATTTCTATGACTTTCTGCGGAGGTTCACAGTGATCATTCTGAACTTGGGCTTTCGAAGGCGGAAAAGCCAGCCCCATTGTCTGCCTAGAATATCTCACACTGTTCTCATGCATAGTCCTAACTAGCGTGCGCATATTCACATTCATGCCTGGACTAGTTTTCGCATTTGGCATCTGATTGGGCATATCGCAATCGCTTTGCAGGTTCTGCTTCTGTGCTGTCGCACAGTCTCACGTCTACAAAGCCAAGATCTCAACAGCATTAGGGCTGACATGGAGCAGGCCATCTTAATAGCCCCAAAACAAGAAGGGGGCTGAAGAGGATGCACGGTCACAGCTCGTGGCTGCATGATAAAGTGTGTTATGCAGATTTAAAGCGAAAGAACCTGCCCTTCATCTTTTCCCTGGGTTCTGTCTAGCTCCACATTGACATTATCAGCCCGGCCGCACAAAAGTCACCGCTATTCGAAAAGCCCAATATGGCACCCAATTCTGACTTGTGCGAATCGTCCAAGCTTGAAGATGACCTCTCCTTCTCTGTCATCGACCGTATAACCGACACCATTCGGGCTGAGAAGGAGGCCATGATCAGCCAAGAGGATCGCGATGCCATCGTTCAAGACCTCTACGAAGGCCCCAAGAAGTGCCAATGCTGCATCAACTGGATGACCGAATGCCCTCATGGGGTGGATCTGGCCGCTCTCGAGAAAGATGAAAGTGACGACGACGAGTCCAACCCGATCATCGTGAGACGCCGCGTCACTCCCGGAAAGGCAGGCAGTCTCGTCACGATCCATTCTATCGACATACGCCACGCAGCGACTCGCAAAGTCCTCATTGATGTCTTCCAGCCTTACGACGGCATCGTTCACTATCTCAAATACCTTGCTTTCCTGGCGCCTTTTCATCAGTTCTTCTGGCGCTGGGAGGCATTCGAGAAGGCTATTGCCGATGAGGAGGACGAACAGGTCAAGAAGATCTTGATCATTCTGAGATCCATCGTCAAACGCGAGCTCGCAGGGGCCTTTGCGGTCAGCAAGGAGCTCATCAGCCACGGCATGGTTACGTACGACTACCTCTGGACTCTCTTCCCTCCAGGCGAGCTTGTCTACTCGGATTGGCGCGTCGACCGTGACCGTTTGTTTGTTGTTCAAGGACATGGAACCAACCGCATGGACCCGAACAAACTCGAACTCTGGCTCAACTACGTCAATTACAACAGCGACGATTTTGGAGTAGCCGTCCAGAGCGAGTCCATTCCCCGCTTCAGAGGCACACGACCCATCAACGAGCTGGGTCTTTACCCTGCAAAGTATCACGATGACTTCGATGGTGTACAGAAGCGTCTGATTGAAAGGGGCCGCAGATTCGCCAGTCTTGCTGGGAAGCACTACAAGGCCTATCGCCCTGATCGATTTGATGACTCGGGTGCAGAAATTCGAGTCATGATTGATACGGACTACGATAGATGTCCTGGTGGGAGCTGCGCTGCGTTTGGAAATCGGGACGACAACTCAGTCTTCCTCCAACGGACACAGCTGATAGTACAGGGGCCTATTGATGCACCGCCAGCAAAGGGCCATGTACCTCTTCGGCGCGAGCGCAGCGGAGATGAGAATGACTCTTTCTACAGTGGTGAAGAACATGTTCCACCTCCTCGAAGGCGTCCCGCCCCCTTCACACCACTCTTTCCAACGCCTCCGTTCGACCCACGTGCAACCGCTGGTTTCCAACACAGGCCACCTTCGTTTTCACCGACGTCATCATCATCTTCAGATCCACTATTCCCACCACGACCAGATATAACAGAGGATGACTCAGACGCGAGTCGCCCTCCTCCTTTAGGTCGCTGTAAGCTTCGCCGGTTCTGTCGTCTATGCATTGTTACTAACATATAACCTAGTTGAAATAGAAAGTTTCAGGATCAACAGGGCTCGAAATCGACTCACTGACTTCCGACTGTCACTGTGCGTTCCTCGTGTACTGGGATTCAATCTCAAGGAGAAAACATGGGGTAAGTCCAAGCCAGATTCGATCTCATATAACCAGCCAGCTTATTCGAGTGAATGCAGAAAACTTTGAAGTTGACCGGATCCATGACATCGAGTGGAACACGAAGCCATTCGAGAGCCTGGTACTTCCTGATGGGTATAAGGAGCTAATCCTTGCATTTGTGGAGAGCCAAGTCAAAGACAACGATAACTTTGACGATGTCATCAACGGCAAAGGTATACTAAAATTCCTTCGCGTGTTTCTATATGCTAATTTTGCTAGGCGGTGGCCTCGTTGCTTTGCTTGCTGGTGCTCCTGGAGTTGGCAAAACTCTTACTGCTGAATCAGGTATGGTTTCTGAGCCTCTATCAACCGCAATATCTTACTAAGTAACATGTCACAGTCGCGGAAAAGATAAAGGCTCCACTCTTCAAGATGGAACTGGGCGAATACAATGAGGACGATCCTGATCATTACGATACGCCGCGCCACCCGGCTCGTCGGCCTGGTGGGAGAAGTGTAGCTGTTGGGGTCCAGCACAGAAGAGGGGACATCGCCGGAGCATTCGAGCTTGCTGCGAGATGGGGTGCTGTCCTCCTTATTGACGAGTGCGACGCTTACCTGGAGCAGCGCAGTGACAGCTCGTCTCAGCGAAACAGTTTGGTCGCTCGTAAGTTGACCGGGCCAGACACCCGTAACTAGAAGATTTTGTCAGATTTCTGACATACTATGAATAGGATTCTTGAGAGAGCTGGAGTACTACCCCTCGCTCCTATTCCTTACGACCAATCGCGAGAAGTCCTTGGACCCGGCTGTCCATTCTCGTGTCCATCTGACAATCAACTATCCAGCTCTTGATGAGCCGTCCAGGCAGAAGGTCTGGATGACCTTCCTCGAGAAGTCTGGGTCTAAGCTTTCTGACGAGAAGCTAATGGCTCTCTCTTACATTGAAATTGATGGTCGGAAGATCCGCAACATTGTCAAGACCGCCGGTATTGTGGCAAGAAGGGATAGCCGTTCTATTAGATTTGATGACCTCAAGAAGGTCATGAAGATTACGGAAGGCATCGAGCTTAAGGAACCTGGCCATTGAACGGCTTTGACCACCGGCCATTTGGCCCGTTTCCTTATCGTTGGTTTTCTTGTGTCCTGGAGTTCTGGCTACAGAAATTCCGCATCAAGACTCAAGGTTTGATGGATGATAAATCGAGGTCTGATGGCAATATACAATGGAGAGAATATTTGCATACGGGAGAATGTCCAACAAAGTATGTACAGATAAAAGAATACAGAGGCTTCAAGACCCCCAACCGCAGCCTCCCGAAAGAAACAGACTTTCATAAAGTGATAGCCATCTAGACTCAACTAAACAAACAGCTTTGTCCACTCTAAGCGAAATGGGCATCGATGGTCTTCTTCATATCCTGAGCAATCAACTTGTGGCCTGCCGTGGTGGGCTGAATGAAGTTCATCCAGAAGTATTGGTTCGCATTGCCCTTGACCATACAGTCGTCCCACTGCGCGGTCTCATCACCGTCACAAAACAGGTTCAAGGGCTTGGGGAAGCCATAGGCCTTCGGGTTGTTCAGGATCTGCACCATGTAGCTGAAGACGTCGTAGTAGATGACCTTCTTCCCGAACTGGCCCAGGCTCTTCTGAATGGCGGCGTTGGCCGAGGTGATGACTTGGCCCCAGGTCTTGACGCAGTCGGCGTTGGTACCGCAGAGGTACTTTGGTGTAACCGGCGCAAGATGCTTGGGGTAGATGTTGGCGACCATGACGTACGGCGCGCCCTTGTCGAGTAGGCCCTTAACTGAAGCTGTGATCTTCGCGGCGGCGTCGGTTGCGAATTGCACGTTCTTGGCGTCGCCAAGCCAGAAGGCGTCTGTGTGCATGCTGAGATCGTTTTCTCCGAACCACAAGAACTGCAGAGAGGAAGCAATGCCCTTTGAACCGGTTCCAGTGTAGTTCGAAATTTGACCGAGCATGTCTGTTGCCCCGGCGGGCGACTTGGTGTAGGCGTTGTCGAAGGTCGCGCCAAAAGAGCCACCACCGCAGCAGCCGCCAAATGCATAGTCGGTCATAGGAACCTTGAGGAGATCCGCGAGATAGGAGACGGCGACCGGGCCGTTGGTCCAAGTACCGAAGCCATAGACGTTGGCTGGGTCGCCAGTGATACCGTGAGCGAAGCTACCGTTTCCATTATCGGAAAGCTCATCACCGTATGCGACGAGGTTGTTGAAAGGGTAAGCGGCACGAGGGGCCTTGATCGATCGCGCTGCGACGAAGGAGAGAAGGAAAAACGTGAAGCTAGTCTTGAACAGCATTTTGAAGCAAAGTTGAAAAGAATGTGGTGAGTTGGAAAGAGAACGAAAGAGAAGTTGAGGAGCTGGGAAGGCTTGGTCGAGGAACATTATATCTGTTGTCTTGGCGGCAGGCTTTGGGTTTATATCAGCCACGGTCTGCGCATGAATCTTTCCTAAAATCCAGTGTTGCGTTGTTAATCCTCCGGGATCACTCAATTTCCCTGCTCATTTCTTGCACCAAGGAGTTGGATTCGTGGCGTCGCTGGGGCGCGATGAGGGCGTCGCACCAACGCCACGGAGTGCGCTATCTTGCCATGCGGACAGATGAAACATTGACTGGTAGCTACGCTGGTGTATCAGAGCTGAAATGAGCTGCAGTGCTTTCTTTTGCGATTTCAAGACTAATTTGGGCGCCTGAAATGGCCATGGATGCAAGCACGCGAAATCTCGGACGGTGTTGTCGCTCACAACAAACAGCTGCACCGAATTGAGAGGTATTGGCAGGAAGGATGATGTGTCCCAGATACATCCAGACACAAGAAGGGAGGCGCAGATGAATCATTCTTGACAGCAATGGGTCAATTAAAGCATGACAATTGGGAATGGGCGCATGAAAGAGTGAATGAGTCAATGTTTTCGTAAGTGTAACCCTCTTGTTACTGTTTGCGACAAATCGTCAGCATCTCCACAGCAGCTTGGAAACAAACAGCTCAGGAAACAGGCCGACTGGCGCAATGGTAGCGCGTCAGACTTCTACTGAAATCAGTGATCTGAAGGCTGCGGGTTCGAGACCCGCGTTGGTCAATTGGGATCTTGAGTTGCAAGTGCCCGAGTATCATTTTTTCCTTGTTTTTGTGTGTGAAGATTTTTCACTTTGTGCGGGGCCCGGTGGGCCGGCCGATCGGTGCGGAGACGCGGAGCGGGGACAGTGGGGTATGTCCTTCGGGGTGACCCGGCCTTCGCTTTCGATCTCTGGGCCCGGAGAGGTCATGTCTTCCACGACGGCTTCCTCTTCTCGGTGAAGGCTGCAATGCCCTCTCTCGAATCAGCGGCTCTGGCATGCAAGGCCATGACTCTCCCCGCCCAGCTCGCCGCATCCTCGTACCCGTCACCACCCTTCCCGTCGTGTGCCTTGCCGTTGATGCCGAGCTGGGTCCAGAACGCCCATTTTCCAAGAGCCATCGGCTGCCCTGCCGAGCCCGCCAATCGCTCCACCACCTCCGCGACACGCCCCTCGAACGCTGCAGCGGCCGTGTCAGTTGACTCTGCGTGCTCAGGCTCCGCGACCACGTCCACGGCATCCCGCATCACGTCGGCAGTGACCGCCTCAGCCGTCAAAAGCATGCGGTAGGTCTGCGCCGGTGGGATGCGGCGCGACACGGCCGTCGCAGGGCTCGTGCACGGCAGCCCGATGGTTGCGCCGGGCAGTTGAAACCTGGTCGTGGACAGGGCGATTGAATAGTCCGTGGAGAGGGCGAGCTGGAGTCCCGCTGCGGTCGCCAAGCCTTGGATCGGGCAGACAACCGGCGCAGGGCTGTGCCGGATGAGAGACATGACTTCGGCGCAGAGGGCGAAGGTGCGCTTTACCTCGGCGTGGGAGAGCGATGCGAGCTGCTTGAGGTCGTGGCCGGAGGAGAAGACCGGGCCTGAGCTGCGCAGCACGAGGACGTTGGGCAAGGCTGCGCGTTCTTCTGCCCAGGCGTTGGCGTCGACGAGCCAGCTGTGTTCTGAAGTTTCTTTTGAGTCCGGGGCTGCGCGTTCGCTGACTCTTTCCAGCTCGTGGACGATACCTGGCTTGAATGGGGGCAAGGTCATGAGACGCCCTGATTTTGGTGAAGTTAGGTTCGTCAGTAGCTGCGATCGGAGGTCCTCAAGGACCTCGAGGCTCAGGGCATTGCGCCGGGCCGGGTTGTTAAGATGGATGTATGCAGCTCTCGCTGGGAGCTTTGGAAAACGCATATTATCGACTGCTCTGTCGTCGAGATTGAGATGCTCGGCAGAGGTCATTGATGGCGAGGGATCCCCCTGGAATGAGTGAGCGTGGCGGTTGTCTGATTACCCCGCAACGGCACGGGACCTAGGGATCTGGCGGCCGAGAGAGCGCAATACCTGATCTCGTTTGGAGAGGCGACATTATTGTTCCGGGACCCGTCGCCGTTACAACAAGCAGAGGTTCACTGTGACGCTCAAACACGGATAAAATAGAGGAGATTGAGAAACGCGGCTGCATGTGCTGCATGTTCGCGCTGATTTGGCTCAGTGTCGTTAGGCCCATCCAATGTCTCAAGGTCTGCTCAGTGAGGGGCATGCTAAGGGACTGAGCTCACGAAGCTTCAGCACGCTTTTGCCACAGCATCCCCCAACGTTTGTAGCCACAGATCTTGATTGGTTTACTTGCAACTGTAACTTTCAATCGACTACATCGTTAGTATGCTTAACTGAAAATTCCATGAGCTCTGTGAATAAAACCAAGTTTGAATAATCGTTTCGCGCTCAATTAAGCAATTGTTGTGTTGCAATCGTTTGTCATATGCTCGTGGGGCTGGCGATGTCGGGCACTAATAAATGGCCAATTGTACGCTCAAGTTCAGCATTGCTCGACCGCCATGGATGACCTCACTAAACATCCCCATCTGCCTAGATACTCATCACTTTCAAATACTGCGTCTCTGAGATTGAATTCAATACTGTTATGCTGATTATTAAGGACCTTCTAGGTCAGTTTCGTTGCATTTTCTGTTGAGGGTATGCGTAAGACACGGATTTTTCAGAACTATACGTGAATGGGAAGTGTCTGAAAACAATGAAAAAGGTTCCTAATAGGCCTGTTGAGAGCAATTTGAGAAACGCGTCGTTATTCTCCTAGTGCATTAATGCTTCGGTTTCCATACGTGCGAGGCAAATTAGCTAAATTGGTCCACGAACTAAAGCCGAGGGTTGTACGATCATCAATGCTTGTAAAATCTCTTAATCCCCCTTCCAGCTAAGTGCCAAACCAACTTTGACTGCAGATAGGCTGCTTTACTCTGATTTTGACTGGGGATAAACAGCAAACTCGTTTTTCAATTAAAATATGTCCGTCTCTGACTGGCAAACTCCATAGGTATACATCCGCCAGCCTCCAGTTCACAGAATAAAGCAAACCATACATTGTACGATACTCGTACGCCAACCACTTGACTTAAAACATTACTCGTGACGACACTTGGCTGGCTTTTGAGCAATATAAGGCAGAGTGTTGATTTGGTTTCATCATGTCTGAAGGCACTGAACAGAAGATCCATGTTCCCCTACCAAACCAGCCCGAGTCCTGTTCAAAAAGCTACCACGGGAGATGCCGTTTTGGCTCACAAGTACTACCTACTCGAGATGTTCCATGTTCGTAAAGACTCCACTGTGTCGGGGCTTTCTCAATGCTTCCAAACCATTCCGGCGAAGGATGCCTTGACGTCCTTTGGACCCCTAGTTCACGACTCATTCCCCTTCTCGCCGAGTTGGGGAGATTCGATCTCAGAGGAACTGCCCAAGGCGACCGGATCTTTGCTGATGAGATGTTTTAGAAAAGGAAACATGAAATGACCATATTCTGAGATCTAAAGGAATACTCCGTGCAAGCTTTCGGTGATCCCCTCTTGCTTCTGTCGCCTGTACATGGAATTATTCGTAGGGATTAGACGCTCTCGAAACCAGATCAGACCAAGGGATTAAGGGTTTCCACTTCTCGTGGAGACTTTCCTGATTGATCAAGGACGAGGGGTGTACCACGACGACGGGCGGGACGCTTGGACTGGCCAAGGGCGACTCGTACGACGCTTAATACGACGCAAAACTCGACCTGGACCACGTCGATTCCGCCTTATCGTACGATCCGCCACGTTGCCTCTCAGAAGTGTTCGGATCGACCAGATCTCGCTGAGGATACATGTTGCTATCCACGTTGACGGCTTACCCTTGATTCAATTCGAAACATCCATCATAGGGGGTTCGATCTAGTCGGCACAATTATAGCAATGAGGGGTGGTTCTACCGACTTGTTGGGTGTTTCGACATCCAGCTCACTTTTGAAAGCCTGGACATCTCAAAAGGTCCGTTGGCCGAGATTCACAGTTTCTGCCCTTGGGAGACCCGGGACCTGGCAAAATTACGATTATACTCGCGATAGCAACCAGACGCATTTTTTGATGACCTGTTTTATGAGATTTCACGATGCAAATATGCTTGAATTTCAAAAACATTATAGTCTCATTCCGATTATCTTGTCGAAGAATCCAGGCGTGATGAAATGTCAGAGTAATCACTGCAACCCCTTGGAGTCCCCCACTTCGAAGAAGACAATGAGATAGTCACATCATTTACAGATTATTGAAGGCTATGTGTATTTTGTCACAGGCTCTTCACCTGATGGCCTCTCTAGCTTAATGCTGATGCTTTTGTTTTGCTTCGTGTTCTGCGACTTGGCAATGCTATGTACTTTTTGATCCCGCCTGCGGCAGATCTTCCGTTACCAACCTTTCTGTCTACAGAGACCTCTCGTTTGTATCCACCCAGTTGGCCTGCTCACAATGTGTCGGATTCTGGGGTTTTCGCGTAGTAACAAGCCCCTCAACTGTCTTTCAGCTCTGGCGTCAAGTCTGGCATGGGTGGAGCCTCAACGTTTGGTGTCTCCTTCGCGATTTTCTTCGGACTTGTGTTTGTCCATTGAATTAGAAATGCCGTGATGAGAACTTGGTTGAGGTTAGAAATTTTGAGTTTTGGAAGGCTCAGACTCTGTGACGTTTCAACCTACTGTCGGTGTTGCAACATGCCAGACACAGCCATACCACTTCACCGCCAAGCGCGACCAGCACCGATAGGTTCCTGCAACATCGGTGAGTAGTTTGCGAGAGGTATATACGAGAGTAGTCTCACGTCAAGCTGACGGTCAAAGTGAGCAGAGCGCCAAGAAAGGTGCGGAGGGCTAGTCTGCGAAGCCGGACGTTCGGTGGAGTACGGGGATGCCTGTGGTTTGAGCCCATCGTCCATGGCCTCAATATTGATGCTTGGATAGAATGCAACTCTGATTGCGTAAGCTTCAGAAGAATTGAATCGGGGGTCTGCCGGGCAGCAACTTACTGAGTAATGGGATCAAGAAGAGGGAGGTGAGGTAAATCTGCGGGGCGCACATAAGCTTGGTGTTGGGCGGGGTCAAGGGCAGAAAAGCTTCATACGTTGACGAGAGCATCAAAAACAATAATGGGTATCAAGATTGCTCGCTCGAGGCCGATGACGCACATGTCGCTTGTTGAATCATAATATGACGCGCGGCTGGACAGAGTGTTAGTACCGAACGTGGATTTGTTTTGGAGCTTTGATCCCGGTACTTACAAGTGAAAATTGAACATCGTAATGAAGCCGTATGTACCTGTTCGGCGAGTCTGTTAGATGATTAAGGTCCTGGCAGTTCAAGAGTCAAAAGCATACCTAGCATGAGAAGAGTGTTGCATGTGTATAGCTTAGATCTGTGGCGTGCCTTGATCGCTCCCCGGATGATATGCTGAATGAGAGTGAGCAAGTGGCAAAGCCGTGGTGGAATGAGTCGACAACATACCGCTTTCTCAACAGTAAAAAGATAAACAAGCTAGCGACTCGATTGTCAACATGTTGATATACTCGCCTTGGATTAAATCACTCACTGCCTGAATAGTTATTAGTTGACACTTCATAAGGGGTAACAAATCGACTCACTTTTGTTCCCACGTAAGCGCCTAGACAGAGCGTTCCAGCCATGGAACAACCCATAGCGCTCATACTAATTCCCGCTTCAAAGACAATCTGAACTGTCCAGGATGCAAACACAAAGAGGAATGCGGATAGGTAAATTAGAAGAATTACTGCAGTATTGTCAGCTTCCATGAACCTGGCCCTTTTTGTTCCGTCCAACTCACATTGTCGTGCCCATGGCAGAGGGCGCCAATACTTGACGGCGAACCATTCTTGACCTGCACCCAACACATCAGATCCCAATCCTGTTGCCGACATAGGGGTACCGCTTACGCAACAGGTTTCCGAGAAAGGCCGTTAAGATTGTCGTGATAATCAGGCTGAGAACCTGCTCAAATTGAGCCTTCGTCGATTGCGTGTCCGCCGTACTACCATGTGCCGTAGCAGACGTTGGCAGCATCATATCTCAGAATATTCTCGGTGGGATCGGTTTCCAGGTCCACCAACATAGAAGTCGCCCCAATTGTAGACTTCTGTCGAATCGGCTCCGGAGCTGGGTGATCAGTGGTCTGTCATGCTGATGAGAAGCAAACTCCTTTTCGACTGAAGAGTATCAGCCCAGACGGACGGTATATGTAAGTGCATCTCGGCATGAGGAGCCGATAGAGGACCAGAAGCTTTCCATCCACCAGCTCTGCCCTGTGTGTCCCTCGGGGCCGCCCACAAGCCTATGCTAGACCACCAACCCTCTTGATATAAGCTTTTGCGCTAGGTCGCCCTACGACGCCCGTAACGACTCGGGATCCCGTTTTGTCTGCCTAGGAGGTGCCGAAAACGGCTCGTCTGGTTGAGAGTTCGGATGGGCACTCCACATTGGGCAGATCTCGGTATCATCGTCCGGCCGGCACATTATCAGACGAGGCGTTATTGGCATTTTGACAGCTAGAATCATAGGGTCAAACCGCAGGAGTCGTTTTGCCGGCAGGCAGAGTATTGCATTGCCGTAGCTTGCGAGCTACCAATAAGAATTGGGCCGATGGGTGCGCAAGCTTCATAAGACATGCAGTATAGGTTGATGCTAATTATGCCAGCCATTTTCCACGGAGGCGGATCATTCTCGGTGAAGACGGAGGTGTTGGCAACATTTCTGCCCTGTATCAATTCTACAGCTGCTGATAATGAATCATTAAGCTCAACACGTGTGAGGTGTTACAAATGACTCTGGAGTCGGAACACCAAGACTCCTCCTCGTGTGGTAGCCATTCTGTTTCGCCAATGCCCTCATGATGGCGGGAGTCCGCGTATCGACGCGATGATCGCGCTCTGATTTCCAGCGAGCTTTTGAGCGAATGCTTGCACACCCTTAAGCTCGTGCGCACGTCTCCTGAACTTTCCAGCCTTTCGGGAATCTCCAGTATCTGATAAACTTTATCCCACCCGGTTGAACGCTCGACTAGGCACCCATCGGGCCTCTGCGTTGTGGGAGGGGCGAAACAAAGCCACAGGGCTGATCTCACTCGAGACTGTCATAGCTCCCTTTTCGTGGTGTGCTGAACTAAGCGGGGTCGGCCTTCTCTCCGCAGGGATTCCTTTCTGACTTCAACGGCCTTTCTTAGCGGCGTCGTGGTCACGAAACAGGGTTTTCTTCTCGGGCAGGAGGCTTCGTAATAAGTTTAAGGCTGAATTTCAACTCACACCTCGGTGTTTCCCGGTTTTGTGAGCTGCAGCATATCACGATTCTCGGATTCTCCCGAGCAGCAAAACCCGCCAGTTCATTCCCTAGCGGAATATAATGATATTGCACAAGTACCGCCACGCAAGTACATGGTCTTCTGCAACGAAGAGTGTGCATCTCATTATATGACTGGTATAGTCATTTACCACCACGTACCAGTTTATCAGATCGTGTTCACTATTCAGGGGCATCAATACATCAGAAGTTCATGGTTACGAACCCCAACCCTTTTTGCTTAGCTAACCGACGGGAAGTCTAATGGAGTGATCCGCAACCCCGACCCTTATTCAAACGACCAATACCAACGTAACTTCGCTGTCAGTCTCAGTATCCGAGCTAGATGGCAGCATATCCTTGAATAATGCAATGCAACCCAGCCACTTCTGCCCCCTGACCGGACAGGATGAGTTACCCGGCCGTATGTGAAGCCATGAAGTCCGGAGATATTACTATCTAGCTGTGTTCAAAGGCCACTGTGCTCATGGAGATTTGATATTGCAGAAGGAAATCCGGCACAGTGCCGATGAAGCTCAGACTTGTCACTGTCAACTTTGCGGTATCCGTGGCTTCGCGCAAATACTCTCGAATTGCACAATCCGGACATTCTCGATCTTAACTCTGTCGTTCTCAATGTTGTGGAAATACATCGGACCACCAGCCTTCCAAACTTCGTGCAGAGCAATTCAACCGCGGGAGAAATGACCCGATTTGGTCACAGGCTTGGTGGCGAAAGTTTGGAGGTCTGTTTGAGTTTTCGAGCCAGCCACGACGCCTCAAGACTTGGGGAAATTTCAGCCCGCGCCTTCCCTTTTCAGCCCGGGTCGGCTGAATTCCAGAAGGGATCTCTGACAGACCGCCCAGCCCAATCATATTGCATAGTAGATAAAGTACTTATTGAGAAGTCCGTTCTCGTCGAAGGTAATCATCTACCGTGAATACCGGCAAATCGGATCCCCATGATCGCCTCACGTTAACATCGTACTCCTTACATCGTCAAGTGCCGGGGAACCCTTTACAGTCCTGCGCCCCACCTAACCATGCATTCTTGACACCCTCTCGAAGATTATTCGATTCTCCAAGCTATCTCATCCAGCCCTATGGAAGGGAGCGGAGTTTAAACCATGTGCCATCCCAGTCGACGAATTTACACATCGATAAGCACGTGGTGAGCCCATTATACTTGCCTGCCCCGAAACTGCCAGGCCCAAGACCCTGTGATCTCTTTTACCCCTCCCAATCAGACTTTGAGTGCCCTTTTGATGCCCATATGCCCTTGTCGCGGATATTCCATGCCGTTTTGGAGGTCCGACCTAACCGGTTCATTGAGGTCATTGATCATGACTGGAATCTCGTTGGGAGCGCACGTCAGCTTTCTGTCTGACTAGCAAGCGTGTGATACCTAGCCTGCGACATTGAGGTTTTAGTCGTGAGCACGTTTACAGACAGACTCTACCGAATGATCGAGAGCAGGGTCGAAACGTGTAGGAATATTGGATTCATCAAGCCCAAGAAAATCCACCATGAGTACGCGTGATGGCTTTGATGACGATTGTCAAAAGTAAAAATGAATCCACAGGTGCCGTAAATCATATAAGCTGCTTCCCCCGCTGCTCGGAATCCCACGCGAGATTCTATCTCGCATAGGTTGAACCATACGACTGAAGGTCACTGACCGCCAAGTCGTCTGAGCTGCGAGACGGCGCCAAACTCCAGACTGCTAGGCTGGACGCAAAACATTGGCTCGACAGACTGAACACGTGCTTTGCATGTAGAGAACCTGAGTGGTTTCGAACTTTCCAAGTGGTCAATCTACTTACCCTTTTGGAATTGGTCCATCTTGTTGCCCTTTTTGTCCCCGTCGACATGGAACTCTACACCCCTTAAGAAACGCAACTAATAGCTCGGACCGCTTGAGTGCGACCAGGTCTAACAAAACTTCGGATTTCTGCTCAAGGGTTCGGAGCGTCTGCCGGCGGCATCTTAGCTTTTTAAACTTTTGACCGTCAAGAGGGAAAGTGAACCCGGCGGGGAAGTCTGCGGCGAGGGCAGTCGGCTCGGCATCCCGAGACGGAGCACAGCAGGCCGACCCGGGCCTAGGTGGAGACTTTCTGCCCGTCAGCATGGGCGGCATCGCGAGCAGTAGAATTCGGTTCCGTCGGGTACGTCCCCTGCAGTGCGGCTGGACGCTAAAGTCTCAGAGCTAACGCAACTCGAAGCCTGCTCGCTTTGCCCTGCGTGTGCCTCTCGTGCCCTGCGTGTTCCTGCAAGCGCCTTGCTAAGGGGACTTTTACAGGGGAAGAAGCGGTCACCAATTCGCCGTGCTTCTTCTATCTGAGTGAGGCCCCTTGCGATAATTTCTCTCTCCCAACCGAGAGCCATGAAAACATGCCCGTGCCAGGCTAGCACCCGCGTCGCATCTACCGGTATCCTGGAATACGGTGAAGCTCACGATGCAAACATGATTCGACTTCTGAGTTGCTGAAGATTCAGGGCCTATTATTCAAGGATGCAGCGTTGCAGAAGAGGCTCTTACGGCCGTACTGCATCTTCTCAGCTGGCCCCAACACCACATTATGGATCCACTCTCATCGATCGTGTAAGCGGCCCGCCCGGTGATTCGAAGTCATGACAACTGCCTGCGTTTACGATCCAATCATATGAAGACAGCAGAATGGATCGTGCTGCTCATCGAAATCTGCGACTGGGCTGGGTTGTGTATGAGAAAATGGTAAGGGTAACGAATGATGAGTGAGGCTAGCCTGGAAGCAACCAACAGCCCACCGCGTTTCTTTTTCTTCAGCAGTCATTGATCGATCAGATTTGACATTTCGGCAGAATGCGAGATGATCGGTGAAGTGGCGCCGCCACCCGCCCGATTGATAGACAGTTTTGACACAAGCCAACAGCAGAAGAGCCGGAGCCATGGCCGCAAGCCTCGGAGAGATCCCCGGTCAGCACGTTGAA